CCGCGCCAGCTCCCGCGCAGGCTCCAGAGAGCGCGCCACAAGGGCAGGCGGGCGAGTCGTCGCAACACGAGGCAAACCGCCCAGATGTGAGTGGTGAGGGACGACCGGGAATGCGTGAGTGTATGAACATTGGCAGTGGTTTGACAATGCTACTTTCTCGCACTCTCGAGGGGCGGCCAGGGGTTTGACAGATGGGTAGCACAGCTACACATGTATTCACCAGCCCCAGATCCTACCTACATGCACAGGCCGGTGACCCTGTAGCGTCCCCCCCCCCAGCCGCAGCAGCCGCCGCCGCCACAGAGCTCAAGCGCAAGGTTGAGGAGCGTGCGAAGCAGCACGCGGCCAACAAGGACGCCGGCATCCCCAGCAAGCGGCGGGGCTTGGGCAAGCAACGGGGCGCGGCGCTGGCCAAGCGCAAGGAGGCCGCGGCGAACGCCGCCGGCGGCCCCGCCAAGGGGCCTCAGCAGCCGCCGCCGCCGCGGCACATCGGGCGGCTGTTCAGCCTCCTGCCCTGCAGACAGGACTTCGAGGCGGTGCATATCACAGGCACCCTGACGACGCTGTGGGCCCTCTTGCGGCGGCACGAAAAATACCATCCGGGCGGCGTGGAGAAGCTGACGGGGTTGCAGCTTCCCACCGAGAAGGAGTGGAGAATGTATACCGTGCCCGAGGTGAGGATCAGCACCGCATGTTGCGGAGGGAGGGGTATGGGTGGTGCAGAGGTGTCTTGTAGATCTACACTGTGAGCACAGGCCACTCCTTTTCTTTTGCAGTCGTGGTGGGGGGGGGGGGGGGGACGAATAAACTGTAGGATCGTCCCGCGATGCTCTGTGGACCCAGGGTCTGGGGGTCGTGTGGTGCAGCAGAGGTGTGAGGCCCCGACTCCTCGTCGCTCACACCCTCCCCACCCGCATCTTGCCAATCCCAGGCTTTGAAATTCCTCAATCTCGAGGAGGTTCATGGTATTCCCGCCAGGAAGAAACAGGCCATCGAGGCCTGCCTCCGTAGAAAGGCGGAGGAGTACCAGGTGGACGCAGAGGGGAAGCGAGGGAAGGAGACGGGCGAGAGGGAGGAGGAGACGAAGACGGACTGGTTCGTCCATGTGGGCTGGGCATTCTTCACCGTCCTCTTCAACTTCCAACGCTTCGAGGGCTATGGCTGGTACTCGGCGGGGCACTGGCGGACCAACGGCTACAGCGTCTCTGTCACCCTGCGGCGGGCGAGAGGACCCCCCCGGCCCGGCGACCCCCCGCCCCGCCCCCCGACCCCCCGAAGACCAGTGGCAAGCGCGACCGCGGCGGGGCGCCCCTGGGCGCCCCACAGCGCAGGGGAATTGCCGACGAGCACTACCGGTGAGTGGTCCGTGACTGTACCACTGGGGTGTGTGCTGCTAGGGATTGTTCTCCTGGCTTGTCGACATGCTGCAGTGATTGCCTGGGACGCTTGCAAGTGGTGCGGGGGTGTTGGCTGCTCCGTTTCTGGCAGTGACTGTGGATGTGGTGTACACCAGCAGCTAAGTGCGTTACCGTACGCAACTACCCACTCACCCACCAACCACCCACACGTGCCGCGCTCCCACAACACAACTCACCCCATACCACCACCTCCCTAAACAAAATTTGCAGGCGGGACCCCCCTCCAGAGGACCCCAAGATACACAAGTACGTCGGCATCGACCCTGGGCGGATTAAGATGTTCACGGCTATCGACGAACATGCCAACGTGACATCCTGCTCATCCAAGGAGTTCCACGCCATGTCGGGGTCCAAGCGGCGGGAGAAGACCATCGCAAAATGGCACGCAAAAGCCCCACCCTATGTCAAGAAGCTGCACCAGTGAGTGGTGATTGGGTTGTGGAGTTAATGCAGGGGTATGCCTCGCAGGGGCAGGCACTGTGTCACGACACCGTGCATCGCTCCAACCGTACCAACCCTCGTGCTCAAACCCCCCTCCCCACCCTGCCACTACCACAGGTGCCCGACCTATAAGACAGCGAGCACAGAGGTGCTCCTGTCGCGGGTTGCGTGGATCGTCCCCACATTGCGACAGGGCCTGGCCTGGCACAGGGACGAGAAGCCGTTCCGGAAGCTGCGCCACCAGGCCTACTTCGGCAGGGAGCGGGCCATCAGCCTGCTGGCGGAGCAGTTCCGCGCCCCCCTCCGCATGACTACCGTCGTCGGCGTGGGCAACTGGTCGGCCCAGGACCGAGGGGGCATCATGCGGGGGACTCCGCCGAGGCCCTGGATACGTTCCTTGGGGCGCCTGCGGCGCGTGTGCAGGGTGGTGGTGGTTGACGAACACAGGTCATCAAAGCTGTGTTGCGCCTGTCACGCCACCCTGCATGCCCACCAGTACGTGCGGGTGCGCAATGGTGAGGAGGAGCTGGTGGACGTGTGGGACACCAAGCGCTGTGTCAACAAGGGCTGCAGAGTCCATGTTGTCAACCGCGACGTGAACGGAGCGGCCAACATGCTGATGTTGACCAAGTGCTTTTTTGAGAATGCACCTCGTCCCACTGCATTTGGTGGACCCGCTGCTTCCCCTTCCTTTCCTCCCACCCCCCCACCCCTGGTTCGCCGATCGAGGCAACCAACTGCGCCAGCGATATCCCGTCCGCGGGAAGCAGCTGTGCAACCGGCGCAAGCCCGGTAGCGGCATTTCTTCGGCTCGCACGAAGCATACGCCCCAGCTCTGGATATCTGTCAGACGCAGCACCCTGCACTGAAATCTCGTCAAACCTCCGTCTGGGGGTCAATCACATGTGTGTCAGTATGCGTGCGCCTCGTTTCTCAGGCAGCAACCACTCGGGATGCCCGCACAGTTGAGGCGGATGAAGGCGGGGGCCGGGCACAAAGAATGTTCCATGCACCCCCAGCGCCGGGCTGCTTCCCCTCGAGATGGGCAGCACCCCTTTGCACCCCCCCGTCAGCCTCCAGTCCCTTCCTCAGCCGTCCGCCAGCAGTGCCTCACCCCCCGCCCAGACCCAGTACAGGCCGGCCCCCAGCGCGTAGATTGCGGCGGCCAGGCCGAACACCGCGGCCCAGGAGCCCGTGGCCTCCAGCACCACGCCCGACACGGGCACGGCCAGGAGGCCGGCGGCGGTGGCGGCGCTGGACCCTGCGCCCCACACCAGCCCCGCGTGCTTGGGCGCCACGTCCAGGTGGTTGGCCCCCGCCCCCGCGGCGGCCAGCGCCCCCGCGGCGGCGCCCAGCGTGATCCAGGCGGCGGCGGCGCCGGGGCCGCGGCACGCCGCGGCGGCCAGGATGCAGGCCGCGGGGCCCAGCATGCCCGCCGCCTGCGCGCCGCGGCGCACGCTGGCCGTGGCCCAGCCGCGCGCCAGCAGGCGGTCGGCCGCCGCGCCGGCGGCCAGGCCGACGCAGCCCTGCACCGCGTAGGGCAGCACCGCGAAGCGGCCCAGGCGCGCCAGCTCCACGCCGTAGGCGTCGCGGAAGAAGGAGGGCAGCCAGCTCAGCAGGCCATACGCGCCCCAGGAACCTGTAGTTGTTGTGTGTGGGGGGGGAGGGGGGGGATTGAAGGAGGATGTGGAGGCGCCACCGCAGGGGACACAGAGTGCGGCTGGGAAGTCTAGGCCAGAAGGAGTGCAACCTTGGTGCTGAGGGGAGCAAGCGGGCCTGGCGGGCGGCGCAGGGCGCTCCTCGCCCCGCAGTACCAACCAAGTCAGACACGATTGCGATCCTCAGCTCCTGACGCTCGTCTCCGTCGCGGCTCCCCCCCTTCCAACCCCTCAGCGCACCCGCGAACTGGGCGACGCAGATGGCCCAGACCTCGCGCTGGCGCAGGAGGGCCGCGAAGCCGGAGGGCAGCGCGGCGAGGCGGGCCTTGTGGGCCGTGGCCACGCCGTCGCTCCAGTCGGTCCCCGCCTCGCTCAGCCCGTCATCGGACTGCTCAGCACTGAGGGGCCCGGGGCCGGGCATGGGCGACGCCCAGCCGGGCCAGCCCGGGATCCAGGCAGCCAGCCGCCCTGCGCGCGCCCGGTCCGCGCCCTCCTCCGCGATGGGGGCCAGGCCGGCGGGCGGCGCGTCGCGCGGCGTGGCGCCGCCGTTCATCCCCTGCCGGGCGTGGGGGGCCAGGCCGCGCCAGAGCGCGCCCAGCGTGAAGTGCGTGGGCGCGACGGGCGCGCGCGGGCCGGGCGCCAGCGCCAGCGCGGCCCAGGGCGCGAGCCAGGCCAGCGCCGCGCCGCCCGCCAGGTAGAAGGCCAGCTGCCAGGGCGCGCGCGCGAGCAGGGGCGGCGCCGCGCCGAAGACCAGCGCGGTGCCGAAGAGCGTGGCGGCCGCGACGGCCGCGGCGGCCGTGGTCTGACGCGCGGGCGGGCAGTGCGCGGAGAGCAGGGAGTGCACGGCGGGCGTGGCGGCGCCCTGCGCCAGGCCCAGCAGCACGCGGACGACCACCAGGCCGCCGCGGCCGCCGGCCGTGGCCACGGGCGTGAGCAGGCTGGCCAGGGAGGAGGCGACCACGCCGGCGGCCAGCGGCGCGCGCCCGCCCCAGCGGTCGGCCAGCAGGCCGCCGGCCAGCTGGCTGCACAGCTGGCCCGAGTAGGAGGCCGACAGCAGCACGCCCTGGGAGGCGGGGTCCCAGCCGTAGCGCGCGGCCATGGGGATGATGGCCACGGCCAGGAGGGAGGCGTGCGCCGCAAACAGGGCCACGGCCAGGGAGACCAGCGCGGTGAGCCCGCGCCAGGTCAGCGCGTAGGCCGCGCGGGTCCAGGGCAGTCGCAGCTCGCCCACCGCCTCCACCGCCACGCTGGAGGGGTGCCCCGACACGTGCAGGGCATCCACACGGTCCGAGGCTGAGGAGTAGGGGGATGTGGGTGTGGGTGAAGAGGGGATGGGGGTTGACAAGGGGGAATGTAGGCGGGAGGAAGATGAGTAATAAGGTATGAGTCCCCTGCACTATGGTGGTAACAACCTTCCCTCGACAGGGGCCTCGGACGCACCCTGGCGCAGGATGGAAGCGGGAGGGGGTCTCCAGAAGCGCGGCGTGGGGGCCAGCGGACTGGTGGGGCGGGTGTTGGGAGGCAACACGGGCGCCATGCTGGCTGGGAGGGTGGGTGGATCACATCCCGCCCGGGTCAGGCAGCCATGGCCGCACTCCTCGACAAGAGATCACACATCTGCATAAACAATACAAGCAATGTTGGAGATGGCACTTGGGAGAACAAGGGCCCCGTGTCTGTCATCGCTGCAATCTCGATACGAAAGCAGCCCGTGCGCGCGCGAGGTTGTCCGGATGAAGATGAGGTGCGCCCCTCTAACTGTCTCTATGCCTCCTGCAGCAGAGACTAGCAAGCCCCAGCATATGCCGCATGTTGGGAGTATATGCAATCCCTCTCATTCATGCGGATGGTAGGCCTGCTTGGGGGTGTCATTAGGGCTTCCAGTATATACCGTGTTCTGCCTGGCTTACTGCAGGCAAGGGTGCCCCGCACCACACTCGCTGCCTGTCGAGCACACGCCAACCCCGATGTAGCAGCATGCTACGCCACAAAGGCCTCCACAGCTCTGCGGGATCGCATCGAGGGCAAGGTGGGTCCTTCTTTGCACTGGGCCACGAATAATGGCCAAGCCCAGAAGGTGGCCTGGTGCAGGCATGGTGTAACGACCAAGCGTCGATGGCACGCCTGGCCAACAATGTACAGCGGTCACTCCCTCACCTGCTCGCATGGCCTCCAGGTGAGTCTGGTGGCCAGGGCAATCACCTTCACAGATGTGGCGCTGGAGCCCCCTCGTGAGCCCACGCCCAAGGAGTATGAAACCCTCCAGGGCAAGCTCGGGTGAGTAACGTAGCTCTGTGTGGTTGGGTGGCGGTGTGCTTGGGGGAGGTTGGGCGTTTAATTAATGCAGTGCAGTGTGGGCTCATCGAGGGGCATGTTTGCCGTGAGGTCGGCAGCGACTCTCATGCCAAATCCCTGACATTGTGAGAGGCACGAACAACCCCCCCTCCTGCGCCAATTTTACAACCCTTGGGCCCATGCGCGGACCTCGGCAGGTACACCTTTAAGAACCGGTACCTGCTGCGCCTGAGCCTGACGCAGCAGTGCGCCGCAGCCGCCACCAACAACCGGATCCTGGCGTGGCTGGGCGACGCGGTGCTGCAGCTGGTGCTGACAGAGCAGGTGCTGGGGGCGGTGCAGGGCAGCCTGACCGCCACGCCCCTGGGTGTGCTGGACCGGCTGCGTGCCACCCTGGTTTCGCGCGCCGCCTTCCAGCAGTCGGCGCGGCAGGTAGACCTGGCGTCCTACGTCATCATGTCGCGGAACACGCGAGGTGGGTTTGCATGTCGTGTGCAAGGCATGATCCTGAGCACGCTGGATGCATGAGCACAGGAGGACTGATGGGGGAGAGGGAAAGAGGAGCCTTCGAGGCAGGCTGCGTTGCGTGATCGACGCTGGCGCTCCAGGCTCACCCCAGGGTGTTGACCAGGATGAACATGGGATGCTCCCACACAGGCTGATGTCGTCATCGTCTCGCCATCACTCGCGCCTCCTGAACCACTGCCCCTTCCCGTCCTTCCCTGTGCTCAGACACGGGCGGGCCCTCGCCAAACATGCTGGCGGAGACCTTTGAGGCGGTGATCGCGGCAGTGTACATGGATGGCGGTCTGCCGGCAGTGGTGGGCGTGCTGGAGAAGACCTTTCCCGTCTCCCCAGACCACCTAGACCTGCTCAAGAACGCCGCAACCGTTGCCCTCCCCGTTTCCAGCGAGTCCAAGGTCCTGCTGCCTCGGCCAATGGATCCGGCGGGCGACCCTGCCAATGTGCAGCAGGGGCACGAGCCCGGCGTTGCCTAGCGGCTTTGAGTCAGCCACGGCTGTGCAACAGCAGCCAGCCTACAAGGCCTGCCCTGAATGGGTACTCAGTCCCAGCCCAGCTGAACTCCCTGGATTTCGCACGGGTTCCAAGGAGTGCTCTGCTTCCTGTGCCGTTGCTGCTCTATATACTTGTGACACCAGCCCGGGCACACCCCGACAAGCTTCAACAATGCTGCTCACACACGTCTGGCAACGAGTAAGCACTACTGAGCGACTCTGTGTACACGCCCTCAGAGGCCCAGCCGACAGAGGGGATTCCGCTTGACCATGGACAGCGCCACCTTGTGGCCGAACAGGTCCCGGATGTTGTCGATGCCGTACAGGATCATGGTGGGCCTGTCAAAGGGGGGGGGGGGTACAGCAGGAAGGGGTGGAGGGAGGTGAAGACCCCTGACGCTGACGTGATGAGAGGTCTCGCGCTGCCCAGGCCCAGGCTGTGGTGCAAGTCGGAGAGATTTGGCAGGCTCGCCGCTGCTCGCAGCCGGCGCCTCCTCCATCTCTCGGATCGACCCGTCCCAGTCCCACCCAGTGCTCTTCTCGTCCCCGTCCAACCAAAACTCACCTCTCCAGGGACAGGCCCCAGGCGATGACGTTCACGTCCTCTGGGAGTCCCATGGGCCGTAGCATCTCCGGCCGGAACATGCCCGAGTTGCCCACTTCGATCCACTTGCCCAGCTGCTCGGAGTAACTGCTCGGGTGCGAGGTGCGTGTTTGTCATGTCAGTGTTTGGGGTGGGCGGCGACAAGGGGTCGCACGGTCACGACCATGGGACAGGCCCTGCGTGTGGGCACCCCGCAAGCACCCCTGGACCCCCTTGCGCACCCTCCTGGCCTCTCCACTCTTCCCGACCCCACCTGAAGATCTCCATGCTGGGCTCGGTGTAGGGGTTGTAGGCGGGCTTGAAGCGCAGGGTGGGCAGGCCCAGACGCGCGAAGAACTCGGTCAATGTGCCGATGAGGTCGCCCAGTGTCAGCCCCACCCCCGCCACCACCCCTTCGATCTGGTGGAACTCGGCCAGGTGGGTGCGGTCCACCGCCTCGTTCCGGAACACGCGATCGATGGAGAAGTACTTGGCGGGGCGGAAGCCGTTTTGCGCCAGGCGGTACAGCATGCGGGAAGACACCGCCGTCGTGTGCGTGCGCAGCAGGTTCTTCTCCGCCTCGGCCTCCTGCCAGGCGTACCCGTAGCCGGTGGAGCCCCAGCCCCCCGTCTGGTGTGTCTCCCGCACCCGCTCCAGGTAGTCCTGGGGCAGGCTGGAGCATGGCGTCGTGGCGGGGCCTGCAGGGGAGCAGCGGGGGGAGGGGATGGTGTGTGAGATTCGGGAGCGGGGAGCGGGCAGAAAATTACGGGAGGGTGAGAAGTTGAGGGGATGTACGATGGTGTGGGGCACTTGGCAAGCCCTCAGGAGGGAGGCATGAGGAAGCAGGCGACCCTGAATCACTGCATTAAGCGCCCACCTCACCAACCCCTCCAACCCTCAAGCCCCGCTCACAGGTGAGGAAGAAGGTGTCGTGGGCATCGCGGGCGGGGTGCTGCTGCGGCTGGAACAGCGCGTCAAAGTTCCAGAAGGACGACTCCACGTAGTTGTTGGTGGGCATCTCCTCAAAGCCCATGGACACAAAGATCTTGCGGAAGGCGGTGCGCACCTGGGCCGGGAGTGCATCGGGAATGGGTTGTGCAGGGATCACAGGTGGGTTGGCAGCTGTAGGTCACGTGATGAAGAGGCATTTTGCAAAGGTAGAGGCACACAGCTTCACCATGGCAAGCTAAATTTGCGGCCATCGACTATAATCGCCTGGCAGCATGTGCCAACCCGAGGCAGGCAGCAAAGAGGCATAATACTTCTGAGGATCGGAACCAGAAGCACCACTACAAATAAACTCCATCCTCCTCACCTTGAGGAGGGGGTGCAGGTGGCCACTGGGGGGCGCTAGACCCAGGGCGTCAAAGTTGTAGGCCTTGAAGGGTGCATCCCTCCATGTTCCCCTGCAAGGGGGAATGGCGCTGGAGTGGGCCCTCCACCCAGATGACGCATCATGACACAAAAACGGCACAACTGCAAAGCGTATCAGTGACCCCACACGTGCATGGCACATGCTGAACCACTGTCACACATCAGCTCACTAAGCCACACAGAGGGGGCACAGCTGCCAATCTCTCCCCACACTCCAAGCCAACCACCTACTTGGCAAGCATGTCGGCCGTGAGATCGGTGGCTTCCTTGACACGTTGCCGCGCAAACTTAATGCCCTTGGTCAGGCGGTACGTCTTCCAGGCCTCTGTCGTGAGCAGCTTCCGCTTCTTCAGGGCTGCCACAGTGGCGGCGGCCACCTCAGTATCCTGTCCAGAGATCTTGGAGGGGAAGTCTGAGGTACAAATTAAGCCAGGTAGTCATGCTATACAGAAGCCATGCCTTTCCCTGGCAAGAACCTTGATCCCCTTGCCCCCCACCCCTTGGCCTGGGCCCCCCTCCTCGCACCCACCTGCCCCCGGTCCACTGCCACCAGCGCCGTCTGCACGGCATCCTGGATGGTGGGCACCTTCCGCATGACGAGGGGCGCCCCACCCTCCTTGCTGATGGCGACCCATCGCTGTTGCATGGCCTGCTTGAAACCCACGTCGCCCACGGTGCCATCGAGCTTGACCTGACCGGGAGTGGTTTGGGGGTGGCATGGGGTTGGGACAGGAGGATCAACCAGGCACCAGACATGTTGCTTGAATGGGTGAGGCAGTGCGCGCTTGCGAAAGGGTGCTGACGACCTGGTGTCCAATCCATTTGCCCATGGGCAAAACCTGTCTGCGAACCTACAAACGCTAGCTACCTTGAGATCGGCCAGTGAGATGCCAGACTCAGGAATGGCGTTGAAGACCTGCGCCTCGGGCGAACCTGCCTCCAGGTACAGCCTCGCCTCCTCGGTGAGGGCCAGGCGTGAGTGATCGATATCCTGCAAACGGGACAAACGGGCCAAGGGCATGGAGTGCTGGCAGAGTGCAGCAGCACTGGTGGGGAGAGGCACAAAGACCCTTGCCAGTACAGAATCGAGGTGACGTGCTGTTACAGACACGCCCATTGAATCTACCGTGAGGTGAATAACACCCTCTCTGGAGAACACTCACAAGTACCATCCGCCTACTCATCTAAACCCAACAAGGCTGCCACTCCAGGACACCTCCGTCCTTACCTCGACCAGAATAAGCTCGGCCGCTAGCAGACTCTTCATCACTCCGACCAGGGCCATGTGATCGACACTGTGTGACTCGGCATAGGCGCCGGTGTCTTGGATGGAACCAGCCTCATCGATGCTCTGCAGCAGGCCAGACTCCAGGTCCGCAGCCATGGCGTCACACCACCCACTGCCACTCCGATCCAAGAGCCCTACAGCAGAATTACTTTCTAGATTCACAAGAACTGTGCGGCGTACTCTTCAGAGAGGTAGGCCCACTGCATGGCACAGCGACCACGACACACGGTCCCAGCACGGGCTTGCCTTGCTGCAAGTAGAAACTACCACCAGGCGCAATTCCATTCAGGTGCCGGAGGTGCACCTGGCCCGATGAAGAATTAATCCGCGATTCATTGATTGCATGGGCACAGAAAACATCCAAGGAAGACCAGTTGGGCAGCGAGTGCAATTGTGGCGGGCGAGACACGATGTCATGGCGACGCCTGCAGGCCGCACTCCCCAATCTGACGCTTAAGCTCTACCCGCTGTCCAAGGCGCAGCAAGCCATCTACGAGACTACCGGCACCGTGAAGGAGCTCGTGTTCCGCACCACCCCCAAGGCGAACAAGGTGTGTTCACCCCTGTCCCGGTGGGCGTCCATGTCGCCCCCAGTATGCCTTTCTCCGGCTCTGTCATCGGGTGCGTGCACCCCTCCCTTGCCAGGCCGAGATCAAGGAACACCTGGAGAAGGTATACGGCCTGTCGGTGGAGAAGGTCAACACCTGTAACTACCTGGGCCGCAAGAAGCACGGCAAGGCCGGGTTTTACAGGTGCGAGGAGTGGGTGAGTTTTGAGTTGATCACTCCTGGAGCGACGGCCCTGGGCATGACCCTGTGGAAAATAGAGGCCACGCAGACTCTCGCTGCGCTCCGGAAAGCGCTCAGCGGTGTGCCTGCCCCTCCCACCGCCAGGCGTCCCGACTACAAAAAGGCGTTTGTGTTCCTGAAGGAGGGCTCCCCCAAGGCCGCAAGCCAATAGAACCCATCGTTGCCGGGCGGCAGGACCCAGGCCAGCCACTAGCCACTCATCACGCCAGCGGCCCATGTCGTCCGAAGCAGAGCCCGCCCCCATGATGGTAGATGACTCCGCGCCCGACGAGGCGGCCCCCGGCCCTCCCTCCCCCGGCAAGGGCCTCCCGCCCAAGCACAAGGCACCCTCCAAGCCCGGCAACGGGGATGAGCCCGCCCCCCCCCCGCCCGGCGGCGGCGCGGTGTTCGTGTCCTACTCTGAACGCCGCGAGCATGTGTCCAACAAGGGCGGGCGCAAGACCGGGGGCCACGTCTACCAGATCAAGTTTTTCCTGGTGGACGCCACGGGGCTGGAGCACCTGGCGGCGGTGGGCGAGGACCAGGGCGACGCACACTACATCTACAGCAACCAGCCTGGGTTCCCGGGCCTGTACGGGCACAACAAGCAGGACGTCAAGCGCTGGCTGGAGGACGTGATGGCAGCCAGCCAGCTGCGCGCCGGCTACCACCTGGACCTGGTACAGGATGAGGTGCCCACCGACCCCTCCTCCATCCGCCTGCCCACCTTTGTGGCCTACAGGTGGTTGCATGGGCGGGTTTAAAGGGGGGTGGAGGGGCCTCGTTTGGAGGGGTCGGCGCGTGTGCTCCTTGCCCCCACTGCGCACCTGGTATGAGAACTCTCCACAGACAGCACTAAGCCCTTTTCACTCTCCCCCCCCCCAAAAACCACTAATACGAAAGGCACGAGCGGACGGAGCTGGACGATGGGCGCCACGCCATGTGCTGGTTCCTGGTGGACGTCTTTGGCAAGGAGCACATTGCCATCTCTGGTGGGTGTCCATGTTGGTGGGTGTGTCTGTTGGTGGTGTTCTGGGATTTGTGAGTCCTGTTGTTGCAGGGAAGCTTGCACGGAGGAGATTGCTTTGGGCTGGCCGGCAGGCCGCATGGGGCATACATCAGGCAGGGTGGAATGTCAGTCAGCCTGTCACAGGATGAAGGTCAGGTCCGGCACATACCCCTGCGTCTGCATGATGCCCAACTGCGGCTTGTCCCTTTCCCCCACACCCCCCACAGGGGAGGAGAAGGAAACGCGGGACGGGCACTACGACTACTCCACGCAGGGCGTTTTCCACGTCGTAGCCCCCCTTTCCTGCCACAACCAGGCGGCGGTGGTGCGCTGGCTGGACGAGCGCGTGGTGCACAAGGGCCAGGCGGCCGCGGCGGCCACGGGGAAGCTGCCCGGCAACTTCCACACCGCGGGGCAGTACGGGCGGTCGGGCGGCGTCAGGGCGGGGCGCAAGCCCGGCTCCGACCTGGCCCGCGCCGCGGCGCTGAAGAAGTGGCGCACCGCGCACGGCGGGGCCGTGCCGGGCGCCGACCCCGCGCAGGAGGCGCGCGACGCGCTGGCCGCCGAGCTGCGCGCCTGGGCGCGGGAGGAGGCGGGCGCGCGCTCCGCCGCGCGCCGCCGCGCCCTGGCCTGGGCCTCTGACCCGGCGCCGCTGGCCGCGCTGGCGGCCGCGGAGGAGGCCGTGGACTTGCTGCGCGGTGGCAGCGGCGAGGATCGAGCATCGGTGCAACGCGGGGCGGACGGCCGCGGCGGCGCCGCCGGTCTCGCCGCCCAAGCCGACGGCGTGCGCGCCCGGGTGCGCCTGCTGGCCTTGCTGCGCCAGCTGGCGCACTCCTATGCGCCGCTGGCCCTGGCCGCTGCACCGGGGCTGCAGGCCGCGCTGGCGGCCGCGCCCGCCTCGCCGCTCGCCGGCCCGGAGGTCGCCGCGCTGGCTTCCTGGATCCTGCAGGCCTGGGCCTCGGCGCTGGGCTGCCACCTGGCGGTGCTGACGCAGGAGCGCTACGTGCGCGACCCCGGCGCCGAGCTGGAGGCCGCGCTGGGCGGGCGCCGCGCGTGGCTGGACGCCGCCGCCGCGGCGGTCACCCACCGCCGGGTCGGGCAGGGCGCGCAGGAGGCACGCGCGGGCAGGGAGCCTGCCGGTGGCGGTGACAAGGGCGTGGGGGACGGCACGGCCGAGGGTAAGGGGGGGGATTCAGCAGCCGTCGCCGAGACCGCCGCCGCCGAGACCGCCGCTGCCGAGACCGAGCCCGAGAATGAGGAAGGGAGCGGCAGCGAGGGCGAGGCCATGGACGCTGAGGAGGCCGCGGAGTGAGCCTCCCATTGCCGGGTCAGGTTGCAAGGAGACTACGTGAGTCTAGAGGCAGCAGGCGGCTCTTGATGCAGCGTGGCTGTCCCTCTGCCAAACGCAAGCTCGAGTGCCTTGAAGAGGCATGCCGTGCACTGTCCTGTAAGTCTCTGCATCATGAGCATTGGGTCAGTCCCTTGGTGCAGGGCTGAGGCTGGGCCCGCCAGCGGCTTGATCGTCCGGCTTTGCCACGGTTCCTCCATGCAACGCCTCGTAGCGGTCCACGGCCTGTATCAGCTCGGCGTCGGAGAGGTCGCAGGCACCCCAGGCGGGAGAGGGTCCTGCTCCGCCAGATCCCAGCCCATGCGCCCGGGCCTGGCACGTCGCCAGCACCGCTTCAGGAAGGGCGGTGACGGGGGAGCGGTAGCCGCGGCAGGCGGGATCGTAGCAGCGCTGGGTCCAGCCGCCGCCCTGCAGGTCCACCACGTAGAAGACGCCGTTGGAGCGGTGTTCGCGCCCCAGGTTCCCGCAGTACCGGCACCCCCGGATGTTGTACAGGACCAGCGAAGCGTCCTCCTGCATGGCCCAGGACCGGATGCCGGCCCGTGGCCATGCGCCATCCTGTGAGTTGATATGCATGGTGGATGGAGTGGGTTTGGATGGTGAAGGCGGCTGTGGGGGGAGAACCAGGTGCCCACTGTCGTGCACAGGGGTCCGGTGGAGGCGACAACGCCTGTGCTCAGCATGTGAGGCTGCCGTGCCGCCCACGCCAGAGGTGCGGGGCAGGCATTGACCCGCCGACAGGCACTGCACCTGGCTGCAGACCGCCGTAATGAAGGCAGCCAGCTCCGGGAAGGGACAGGGGCCGTGGTGCATGCGCAGGTTGCCTGTGGTGCTCGCGCGACTCCCATGCCTGCCAGAACCAGGGTGCGAGCTGGTGCGGTTGCTTTGGCCCCCGTCGTCCAGCTCATCGGCCTGCCAAGTCAGCAGCGTCACATTCGGGTCGTCCACGCAGATGAGACTTGCCATGAAGAGCTCCTGGGCTGTCAGCTGGCTGCCCCCATACCTGCCTGAGAACGGCCGTGGAGGGAGACAGCCCTTGGCTTTGGGGCTGCTATCCACCCCAATACGTCAGGAATGGAACAGGGCAGCATCATGCCAATGTCAGACCAGCTCCATGCACCCTGGACTCTTCACCCACCAGAGCATTGCAGGGTGGCCTCCTTCCCCGCCTTGGAGGACAGCAGCAGGCGGAACGCTCGATTTCGGGAGTAAACAGCTTCGTCCACGAGCAGGGGGAGCCCACCCTAGGAAATGGGGAGGGGGTATGGAGGTGTCTGGGTCCATACTCAAGAATGCTCTCCATGGGCAGGACTGGGGCAGTGCAGTTTGGACCTTGGCCTTGACAGCACACTGATAGGCTGCCTGGAAACGCGGGCAGGAGCACCATGCGGCGTTGTGAATGCTGATTTGCTCCCTCACATCAGCCCCCATAGGCAGCATAGAGCGCCACTCTCGTCGTCATACATTCAGGTGGGGGCTGTCTGCCACGATCGCAAGAGGCCCGTCGGGACCCCTCTCCCTGGCTCGGGCGCACAGCTGGCGGACCAGGGCTCCCACGTGAGCGTTGCTTGCAAACGCGTGGCCTGGGATGCGGAGGATGAGGTGGCGGGAGAATTTGGAGGGGGTGCTGGAGTCCAGTTCCACCACATCGGCGATATCCAGCGACATGCCAAGCTCCTCCTGGAGCAGGCAGCTCAGGGCTTCGAGCAGGCTCTGGATGGCAGCAGGTCCATCCTTGTCAGGGTTCAGGGCTCTGCTGAACTCCAGATCTTGGAAGCAGCATAAAGGGTTCAGGGATGTTGGGTATTTGTTGACTTCTGGATTGTTCTTGCCACGGAGGCGCTGATGGCAGGGACAACGGACCATCAATGGCGTTTCTGGAAGACTCAAACTCCTCTTCTCCACTTCCCAGCTCACCAAAGTATATGTGGCAGGGCTGGCCCTCCCTGATTATTTCATAGTAGTGGCGGTGGTGGGGCAGCATATCAGAGTATCGCCTGTAGAAGTTCGTGACAGTGCTGACCAGGAAGCGACGTTTCCCATCTCCGCTGGTCTCCATGGACCACACCCTGTTGCAGTGACAAGAGGAGAGGAGACTGGTACAGCACGGCAGCGCTCAGTGCACCCTGACAGGCAGTTGGTGGAATCAGAATTCACGCTATCGGCACCTCCCACCTGGTCCTCTCAAGCGGCGAGCCCCGCTGTACGTTGAGACCATCCGCGCAATCAATGGCGGCTTGCTGCGTCGGAAACACGTGCCAGATTTCGGCTTCCACGGCCTCGGGTTGCTTGTGTCTGACATGGACCCTCGTCAGAAAGCGCAGGATTCGTTCCTCCACAGCATCCAGCTTGCTCTTGGCATAGAATGATGTGGCGGGCAGACACAGCGTGCTGCCAGGGGCCCCTTGCTGCAATGCTTTAGATGGATCATCTTGCATACAAAGTGCAGCATCACCATGCGCAGCGTCACGCCTTGACGCCGGGTCGGGCAGGGATATCCCACTTGCTCGGGCGAGCTTCACCCTCTGCAGCTCAGGGCCGGCAGCCAGCACAGCCGACAACAAGGACGACTGCCCAACTCGACGTTTGTGCGTGTCCATGTGCCCGACATTGTAGCGTGCCCCATAGTTTCACGACTGCAGCCTCTGACCTCGTATGCCAGCTGCCCCCAGTTCAATCCGGAAGCCTGCTGCGCATGTTGCGGGTTGGGCTTTCGTGCATGACGATCGTGGCAGACCACCCCATTTATTGGCAGTACTGGGTTCCCAACGCCTCATGGTCCACCTTAAGTGCTCTTATAAACATCTAGGTGTCTCTAATTGGTCATGTAGGCCATGACTGTGCTTGCGGCCTGCCTGGCGCTGTCGTCACTGCTCTGGGGCGTCGGGGCAGTCCGACCGGGTCGCGATGAGGCCCTGCATACTGGCATATCAAGACGATGGCCCATCCTTTCAGAATATGAACACCGTAGCATGGCAGGTGAGGCATCTTCGTGCGGACTTGTTATCCCAGCTGAAGGACGCACCACCGGATCGCTTGCCCTCGTCTTCAAAACCCACCCTTTCGAACGCATCCCAGAGCTGGTGAAGACCAAAGGGTACCCACTGGAGGAGCACTTCGTCACGACCTCCGATGGCTACGTCCTGGGCACCTACCGCATCCCACACGGCCGCGAGGGCGCCTCGCCAGGTCCCACCCCTCGCCGCCCGGTGCTCCTGCAGCACGGCCTGCTGGATTCCAGCGCCACCTGGGTGCTGAACGACCCGGACCAGAGCCTGGCCCTCATCCTGGCGGATGCGGGGTGGGACGTTTGGCTGGGGAACAGCCGGGGGAATGCGTACAGCCGCAACCACACAGGCCTGGGCCCCGACACCGCCGCCTTCTGGGACTTTTCCTTCGACGACATGGCCGCCGCCGACCTCCCCGCCCTGACGGCCCACGTACAGGGAGTGACAGGCTGCGCCACGCTGGCCTACGTGGGGCACTCCCAGGGGACCACGGTGGCGCTGGCCGCGCTGAGCACGCAGGGTGCGCTGCGTGCCGCGCTGCGCCCCGTCGTCCTCCTGGCGCCCGCCGTCTCGCTGCGCCACATCCAGAGCATCCCCATGCTCACCCTTGCCCGCCTCCAGGCTGACCAGGTGATTGTGCGGGGGGGGCGTACCTTGTGTGATGGGAAAGACCATCTCTCTGCCAACTGTCACTTCTCAGCATGTGATCCAGGGGCCCTGCCTGCACAGGCGAGCTTCCCCCTTTGCACAGACTCGCACCGTCAGTGCCCACTCCCCACCCCCCTTCATAGTTCTTTGCCATGCTGGGCGTGTTTGAGTTCATGCCCAGCCGGGAGGCCACCGCCGCGCTGTTCGAGGAGCTGTGCCAGGCAACCCCCACGGCCTGCGTGTCGGTGCTGACGGCGGTGTGCGGCTTCAGCGACCGCAACGTCAACGCCAGCCGGCTGTCCCACTACGTGACCTATGCGCCCTCGGGTGAGGGCTGGGGTTTGGACACCTGTGGGGTGCTTGCTTGGATGTTTGGGGAGGGGTAGTGGAAGTGAGGGACAGCGGGGTGATGAAGGAGGGGATGTCTTTGGGTGGATGACTGATCATCGCTGTGAGGACAAGTGAACGCCTTTTGGTTTTGGGCAAGCCAGCGATGGCTTCCGGTCCCCTGGGGCGCTGCTCCCGGCATCCAGTGAGCATGCCACAAACACACCAGTCCGAGCCTCAGGATCCACAGACCCTTCTGCGCCCCGCGCCCCATCCTCCCAGGCACGTCCACGCGCAATGTCGCGCACTGGGCGCAGGCGGTGCGCGCCGCGCAGGCCGCGCCCCGGGGCACCCTGGCCCTGACCATGTACGACTGGGGCGGCTCCTGCGTTTCGCCCCTGGGCCGGCCGCAGACCTGCAACCGGAGGGTTTACGGCCGGGAGCAGCCGCCCACCTACGATCTGGCCCGGCTGGAGGGGGTGCCGCTGGCGGTGGTCTGGGGTGGTGAGGACAAGCTGGCGGACCCTCTGGACGTGAGGCGTCTGCTGTACGTCCTGCCCCAGGCCTCCCTGAAGCTGGCAGTGGTGAGATGGGGCGGAGTGGGTCGGAGGTTGGGGGTTGCAGGGACAAGGGAGGGCCTTTGTACTCTGAAGGGGTATGTGGAGGGGTCATCGTGGGGGGTGGACCAACGATTCACCCAGCGGCACATCATCATGGGACCATTGTGGGCTGACTCTGGAGTATCTCTGATGGAGGGGGGGTTCTGTAAGGTCACAGCTGGCTGCCACGCATTTCAGTTCGATTGGCAGTCATCCCCACGCTGACCTGGGCCTGCCTTCTCCGTACACACTACAGGGTGTCCCCACCTTTGAGCACCTGGACTTTGTGTGGGGTAATATGGGTTTGAGGGTGCCCATCGTGACAGCTGTGGGGATTCGGGTGGGCCATTCCAGGTAACCTGCAAATGTTCACGCTGGCTTCACTACTGCCATTGAAGCCAAGCGCGCCTGCCAGGGAGCCTGAACCCACTCCCTACATTCCCCTCGCAGGCGACACCGCCAAGGACAGGGTGTACCCCCTTGTACTGCGCATGCTGCTCGAATGGGCCGAGTGAGTGTTGGGTGACCGCCACATGTGCCCACTGTATTCGATCACTGTACACTGAACTGCTCCTGTAATCATGAAATGGTGTTACTTGCGGATCTTAAAAAGGGGCAGGAGGGAGCATGGCCACCGTTGCCATGAGTGCATGATTCACTGATCCTGGATATGACCTACTTCTGGCCCTGCCCTGCCCCACCCCCGCCATGGGCGTCCGTCGTGAGACGCACAGACGCGCTGCATCAAGCAATCTTGGCGTTGCTGAAGTCCATCTCCGGATGGGCTGCCATGAACTGCTTCAGGATGTCCTCCTTCTTCTGTTCATCAGAGGTCGGCAGGCCCAGCGCCTTTTGCCGCTGGTCATACATCATCTTCTCCACCGTGGCACGCGTCTCAGAGTCTGTGTGGGCATGGGACTTGGCCATCAGAGTCTGGCCTGGCCCATGCATCGCCACATCATGATATCCCATACAGCAGTATCGTCATTGTGCAGGGATCCCCTGCTTAACGTCTGCCCTGCCCTCCACCACCACAAGTGCTCTCCCATAGCCATGCTCACCCAGATCGCCGAGCTGCGAGTTCTCAGGCTCCACCTTCTGAGTGTCAATCTCGGGCTGGCCCTTCACCACCGCCCTCCACCACTGCATGCGGTCCACCTGGGAACATGGGGACAGGGGTGGGGTTTAGCTATGACACGAACCCTTGCACAGCAATTGTACCAGGCATCAAGACCAAACTCCACCTCACACCTTTTGCAGTGTGACCTCTAGTAACTTGCCATCCACAATGCTCCACAGGCAGTCATCCAGCTTCACAGAGGCATACAGCTCACCCGCTGTGGGTATTAGGGAGGAGGATTGAGTGTATGGTGTCAACACAGCAGGCACTGCGGATCCGGGACTGGCCCGGGGAGGGGATGCCTTGCTCACGTCCCCAGAGCAGTTGAGCCTCAAACAGTTCCCAGATGAGCATGATCCAACAGGTGAATCTCACGAGCACTGGCATCTCCCACCAGGCTGGCAATCACAGCCCTCCATTGTGGATCAGGCCTCGGCCGTGCCCACGGCGATCTGACATACCTATGACAGGAAGCTGGCCCTTTAGCCCGATGCTGACAGATGAGGGCTGGATGCTGACTGCACAGTCCCTGCCCTTGGTGCCACGTGGGATGGGTATGGAGACCAGCACCTCTGCCAGGGTCTGCGTCCAGCTGTATGTCTCCATATCAGCACCATTGCCGGAGTTTGGCTCTGCAGGGCATGGGAGCACTGGGGGGTGTGCCGGAGAGCTGAGGGGTGTCGGCAGGTTGCCACAGGGAGGAAATGCACAATCCCCGACCCAATCGGTACTCACTCAGGCCCTGGGATGTCTCCGCCGCAGCTGGGCCTTCTGGTGAGGCTTCCTTGGTGGATGCAGCGTCCTGCTCAGGAACCTGCATGCATGCGGTCAGATCCTCACCGAGGCATGCCAGGCGACTGGGACAGCGATCGGGTGGGATAAAACTCATAGTGCATGCCCACTCACGTTCCCTGCTGCCGGCAATGCCTTCTCTTCCGCGGCGCTGTCCAGGTCCGTGGAATGGTATCGACGGCGTGCCGCCTGCATCATTCCCGACACGGCATCCTGCACACCAGCTTCGTGGAGGTAGGCTGACTTCAGGGACACCAGGTTGAAGGCTTGCTGGAGAAATACCTCTGCATCCTCACCCAGCTCCTGCCATGCTTTTTCTAGATAGTGCTCTGCTGCTGCTGAGCTGCTGATCTCTTCCACCACCCCAGGCATTCTCGGAGAGCGCTCGCTAAGAAGCAACTTGGTCAACCCCTTTCAGTGAAAATGTACAATTCAAGTGATGCTGATGGGCTCCTGGCTGGGGGGGGGGGGGTTCTACCATTGAACGATGCCACCCCTCAGTTCCAATGTTGTCGTCCAATAAGAAACTGAGGAATACGTGTCCCGACACCGGCCCGGACGTGAGGGTGTGCGAACAAGACCCACGCCTGCTTCCCCGACCCCAGCGACCCGAATCTGCGTGTCTTACAACCAGCTGCAGCAGTCATCAACTCTCGCCGAGCCCGTGCTAGCAGCCAGAGCGCGCAAGGCTCGGGGTTTGCCAGTACCCCTGTCCTTCGGACGCGTTCCGCGGCCCTTCCCCGCTCGCCAACGAGGTCCAGCCTTGTTGTCCGACCTCTGATTTCTCCCCTTTAGATCCTGTCCATACCGGCCTGCCCATCCAGCCTCGTGCGGGGTCTGGAATTGGGCTACCCTATCCCGGACGCACATAGTAACCTCCGACACACGCTGCCCGACCTCCTGCGCATCCTGCTGTAGGGCGATCCCTGCCAGGTGAGGAGCATCTGCTATCATGGGATGAGTTATTTGGCTGTCAGAGCATGCCAGATGGTGGGCTGCGGAGCCCTCGCTGGGCTCCTTCGCGCCTTGCCTCGGGTTCTAGAAGTGTAGCCCAGGTTTGACCGATGTTCTCGGCTCTGCTCAGATCTCTTGTACACTTCGCCATAGTTGATTGCTCCGAGCCCCTTTTGCCCACTGTGATGTCCCCTCCGCGATCTTTCGGCCCACCCGCTGCCCCTGCATCCCGCCTCGCGATCCTACCCTATCTTGTCTCGGCAGCCCCGCGGAGCCCCTCGTGGTGCCACAGTGCCCTCTATAATTGAGACGTTCTCTACATCTCGCAT